AGTACTAAAATACTTCGAGTGAGGTGAAAAAGAGACATCAAAGCAATTCCATCTCTGGTTGTTTCCTCTAGACACAATAACCAATCTTGCAGAAATCAAGGAACGTTTTGGTGCTGTAAATCCCTAGAGTATTTGGATTATAGAAAAAACACACAGGGTGGGGACTGATGTGCTTGAGATGTGACACCAAACCAGGTCCTTCTTTGGCATCCAGAGGTTGCTTCTTACTCATAATCTCCATTGGATGATACCCCATGGTGACCCCAATGGGTTACACATTTTCAACCCCTTACCTTGTGTGCTAAGAAATGAAGGTGATGAGGTGCGAAGCAACAATCACTTTTACACTATATTTTGTAAGACTGTTCTTTTACAGACCAGAGACTGTCCCTTGCTGCCTCTGAAGAAGAAGCTGCCACTGCATAAATGAGCTTGTGATAAGACCATATGGCAAGAGTCTGTGGGGAGCTGCTAAGAGCTGAGCAGCTCCAGGTGATCACTAGTAAGAGGAGGGAGACCTCAATGTAAACCATGATGGACTCACTTCTTCCAGCACACATGTGAACTTCGAAGAGGATCTAGAATCCAGAAAGAAATGCAGACCAACGAATGGTCTGCATATGATGGTGACCTCATAGATGCTGTCTTTGGGGAATTCTGATCAGAGAATCCAAATAAGTCATTTCTGGACTCCTGAGCTTCAAACTGTGATGAAAAATGGATTTTTAAAAACTATTAAATATGTGGTAGTATTTTTATATATTAACAGAAATTTAATACCAATGACAATCATTTTCAAGTAAAAAGGATACTAGGAGATATTGAAGTGATGATTTCAAGATAAATTTGAATCTAATGGAATCTTAGACTCATTATAATTTAAAGCAGTGGAAGAAAAGGAAGCAGGAAAGACTGTGAGAGGGTTGAATCTGGTATCTAAAGCAGAAGTCTAACCACTGTCTCTTACTGTGCAACTGTATCTCATCCTATCCTTTCAAAACTGGGGATGAGAGACTTGGGCTATATATTAATTACCAAAAAGAAATGCCCAAAATGCACCATCATGATAAAACTTGATGTTCCAGTAGACCATTCATGGCCACCTAAAATGGAAATATACTTGAGTTTTGAAAGAGCAGCAAAGCAAGATTATAAATCATATATTACATTTATAACACACAATGCATAATATATAACATATATGACACTTGAATACTTTTCCAATTCCTATGCTTCTCAAATGTTACTTTCTGTTCACTGTCTACTACAATATACATTAAAAAATTAGTTGAGAATTTAAAAAAAAAGAATTTTCTTAGTAACACCTTACACTCAACTGAAACAAAGTCTTTGTAGCTAAGAACATTTATTTTCTTTACTCTTGGTCAGATACTAAACACATACACACACACACACACACACACACACACACACACACACACACACACGACTCCAATGTAACCAATCTAGTGTAGTTACTGGTATTTGACATCTTAGTGATCTTCACAATTAGGTCAAACTTTTTGTATGTGATTGAAAACCTTGTAGATTCTTACATTTAGCCATTGGTCCTCAGCCTTGGCTGCACATTATAATTACCCCAAAAGCTTTCTAAATCCTGATGCTCAAGCTTTTTCCCAGAGCAATTACATCAGAGTCACCAAGCATGGTACCCAGCTATTTGTAATTTTTAAAGCTCCCCAGATGATTGAAACATGCAGTTAAATTTGAGACTGCTGATCTGTAGATAATTCTTGGTAGCTTTCTGCATCTTCTCTAGCACATAATTATGTGGTGCTATGCCCAGGACACTGCCTGAGAGCTATGTAGGCCAACCATAACTGCCCCACATTGATGGAGCACATGACTGAGACTACATCTGGGGCTACACTGCATAAAAACTCCTTTAGGTTGATCTTCATGTTTATTTCTTAAAAAATAACATAGTTACCATTGTTTAACACACAGAGACGAAAACAGGCAGAGTCCTGAGTGAGAAAGAGCTGCCCAGGGAAATACAGACACATGTGTGAGGGACAGCGAGGATTGTGACAGCTGTACCACACCTGTGATTCTCCTGCACTGGCAGCACCGAATCACCTATAAACATAAGAAACGCCAACTATGTGACCCATTCCACAAGTACTAAGTCATAGTCCTTTAGGAGGAGTGCATTCTAACGTGAAGTAAGTTTGAAGAAAACTGGCACTTTGTTTTTCCTCACCATCAGATGCCCACTTTGGAGTCTCAGCTCAGTGTGTGGCAAATGAAACAAAAGTATGTGGGTTTCCATTATTAAAACTGGGTTAGAGGGTGAGTTATCTGCTCTATCTTCTCTTTCTCCCATTCTGTGTTGAAAATGAGAGGGAATACGATCAGAGCTATTGTCTGGGGAAGACATCCAGGGTCTCTGGTAAGGTTCACTGCCTGGCAATCAGAGTCACTTTAATACGAGTGTGACTATTTCAAGATGTGGAAAGAATAGTTTATCCTTTTAATCAAAATATTCAGTGTTTGCAAAGGTTTCATTAAAATGAATAACCCAATTCTTTCCAAGGAAATTATTTTCTGATCTTAAGGGCTTTGAGATAATTGGTATTCAGGAAACTAAGGGCAGGTGGTTGGTGTTCTCTGATGGAAACTCTTTCCAATCACTGACATTCTTTAAAACGTGAGTGGAGCTGATCTGGTTTGGGATCTTCCTTGTTTTGCTTTGGGGCATATTTGTCAGAGTTGTACATTTGACTCCAGTAACATAAAAATTAAAAGGTCATTTTTGTTTGACTTGCTAGAAACATGGATTAATATTTTCCTGAAAAATCTGTAAAATGCTTTGTTTAAAAGCTATTTTATATAAAATGATCTTTGGAACATTGAGGTCTTTTGAAAATGTATCTCAGAGAGGAGTAGGATGGGGCAAAACAAAGCAAGGAAGAGAGGGAGAAGAAAAGATTTAGAAAGGAAGGAAGGGGAAGAATGGAAAGAAAAGAAGCATGAACTGTAGGAAAAAGGAAAATAAATGAGCAGAGAAGAAATCGAGATGGGATCAGAGGTATTGGCAAGGGAGGAGGAAAAGAGGAAGGCCAGGAAAAGAAAGGAAAGGAAGAAAAGAAAGACCTGAGCAGGTAGGCAAAGAAAATAATAAAAGAAAGCCATGCATGCAGACTCTGGAGCCTGGCAGTTTGTTGTCAAGTGCCACTTGTATCAGATGTGCCGTGGAGCTGGGCTCCAAGGTTAATGATGGCAGCAATCATGATTCCAATTTATAGTAAATGGGATGAAAGGCAGCCAGGCCTCGGAGAGAGACCTTACAGCGATGATCGTGGAGTAATAATACCGCAGTCGCAGTCGAGGAACACACTGGGCTGCTGGGAGGTTAGATGAAGTCTTTACTCCACAATCATTCTGTATCCAATGTATGAACCAGTGGTTAAAAAAAGAAATAGTTCAATTATAAGTTCTCTGAATTATAGCCAGGATGTTTAGTTGTTTCTAAATGTCTGAAGTGAGCCCATTACTATTTTAGTCTGTGACTAGCTATGCCTTAGAATTGACTTTGGGGTGAGATTTGGTCATTTTTCTCTCTTTTCCTTCTCCATCATGCTCTTCTGTGTTTTCCTATTACCAGTGATACATGCACCTGTTTTGCCCTGAGGATGCAAATTATTGGAGAAGAAGCATAACTAATAATTGTCTAATCCAGATACCAAATCTCTTTTCTTATTCCCATGTTTACTCATATGCATAATCTTAGTAGATTACATATCAAGATTCCTTTCAATCATAGTCCTGTGGATGTGGTGAGTCCCTTTCTCTGCCAGCCCAGGCTCTGTTACAAAGACCTTGGGAAGAAATAAGAAATCCACTTCAAATAATGAAGGAGAAAAATGAGAAAACCCAGGGCAAGGAGAAGGTTGGGGAACAGAAATGAGAAAGAGTTATACCCCATAAAATCAGAGAGATGCTACAAAGTTATATGCACTATGCATGATGAATCCCTATAAAATATTCTAAAAAGCCAACTAAATTTATGAATCTAAGTGAAGTTTTATTGCTGTTACCAAAGAAGAAGCAGATTTTCTCATCTGGGCTGAATGAGGCTAGAAAAAGTAAGAAGGTGAGGTGTCACAGAGTGATAGAAATGTTTTGACAGCATCAGCTTCCATAGGTCATGGAACTGGGGCTCTTTGGGGTTGGATTTAGAAATGGAACAAGCCAACTTAATATCAGTGTCTTAATATGCCACTTGATGGACAAACACTTGATACTGTTGAAGATGAATTATCTCCAAATAGATTCATGACAGCAAATCTTTGCTCCCTACTCAAACTGTAAGCTTTTATGATAGTGTATATTTTTTTGGGCTTTGATTAATCTGTCAAACTTAATAAAGGGTATATACCAGTGTATTCAGAAAAAAAGGGTGCACTTGACAGATTACTGGATTCACTCCTGGTCTCTCATTCCCCAACCTCTGGCAAACACAGTCTATCATTCATTATGAAGATGATCCTCCTAGGGAGGAGGTCATGAGAACCTTGGGACCACAGAATGCCAGACGCAGGAACTTGAGCTTTAAATTCTCTGACAATAGACAATAAAACTTATGGTAATTTTTCTTCAATGTAAGAATGAAGCTAACTGATAGGTCACAACCTGTAAGTGAAGCAAGAGAGTATAGCTAAGCAATATAGGGGTAGCTGCAGTTTATTGGAATGATGTCATCAAGCTAAAGGAGAAAAAGCTAACAAGTAATTGAATTGAGTAAATCTTTAATCAGTACCCAGTCTTGTTGGGCAACTACACTGTACCAGCACTTGTGTACCAAAGGGAACCAAAATCCAAATAAATACTGGCAGTATTGAAACCTAGGACACAAGAAGAAATGCCCAGATGATAAGGCTCTCACGGCAGGGTACGTTCCGTTCCCTGCTTTTCTCTCACTTCCCAGTATTCCTCTGAGAATTTCATGAGGGTAAAGTCAAAGACAAAGTTCTTACATTCTTAAATCCTCTGTAGAGAATCTGCAGCTCTTTCTTGGTAAATTTGCTCTGGGCTTCCAGCAGCTCAAGGGCCTCAGGCCGATGCCTGACTGTGGCCATCTCCAGCTCATCTTCCACACTGTCTGTGGAGGAAAAGCAGAAAGAATCTTAGGACCTGCTGCTGCTTGCCAAGGCTTATAATGAGCAACACAGGGAAACAAAAAGAAATATTTACTAGGTGTCTGTGATTTGTCCCCAGAGGAAGGTTCCTGACACTGTTAGTTATGGTCTTTGCATTTTTCAGACTTAACAGTATGAAGCCAAAGCACTTCTAAAGAGTTTGTTTCTCCATGTGCTAGTCTTTAATGTGGATATCACAAATCTAGCATTTAAAAGATACAGTTCAGTATGAAAAGTAACAAAAATCACCATGAATTGAACCTGAAATTTGTGTCTGTGTGCAAAGTACTAGTTATAACATGGAACTGTTGTTTAGTAACAGTGAGCATCACTTCCATAGAGAACTCTGCTAATACTCACCTAGGTTGCCCTTGAAATCAGACATTTCACCAGGAACTACAAGTAAAACCCTCTGCAGAGGTGCTAACTGGGGAAGGCAACCTGCAGCTCCTGGCATGACTGCCATATGCCCAGCACCACATGTACATCCTGAAATATTAGGGCCAATAAGGTCTTTTACAGGATTTAATATATTTTCCTTTGCTTTGTGAGATACATTTAAACTGTTATTTCTCAAAGATGCTTCCAGCAAAAAATATTTTGTGTCTATATGTTTGGGAAATACAATAAACTTTAAAGTAATTTTGGTAAAAAATACTGGAATGTATAGATTTTGAGAAGACCTACAACAACGAATCTTTTCTTAAACTTTGCTTAATACAATTGATCCCAAAATATTTGTACATAGAAACTTTTCTGATCTAAAATAATATCAGGTAATATCCACATAGTTGCTATAGGGCTGTGTAAACCTGAGTTTGGAGCTGGTTTTGATATATTACAGTCTGAATGTTTGCATCTCGAAGAATAGCATCATTCAGTCCATCTCCTCTGCAGTGAAATAAGATGGAGCCTCAAACGCCTGCTCCAGTTGCAGTCTGCTCCACACTCCACAGGAGGACCTCAACAGGAAGAACCAAGCCTGACATGAAGGAGGGCCCATCTAGAGCCCTGGTTTTCCTTCATTCACATCCCTTCCTCTTGGCTGCCGATTTCAGACTCAGAAAGAAAGCCTAAGCTTAGAGCACAGGTTTTTCTCAGCTCCTTAATGCCAAGATCATGAGTACCTTTCATCTCTTGTCTCATGGACCAATTAGAAATGTGGCCATTTCCCCAAAATTGTACCATTTTTGACACTAGCCAGTCCACCTCCTCCTAATATTTGCTTCTGCCAACTGGTCTGCTTCACCGAGGGCCTCCAGGCCAGAGCTTTTGCTTAGCAGGAAAATGATCAGAGGAACCATGATATTGGGCTGTCCTAATCATTATCCTCAGACAGTTTACAGAAAACCAGCAACAATGATTAAATAAATATTTGGAATGGTAGTACTTCTCAAAATGAGTAACAAGAGATAAAAACATACTTTGAGATTTTTGTGTTATAATTATTTATTTGGTAATAGTGACACAGAAAGCTTCAGAATACTGTAGAACAGGTAAGAATAAAAGAAAAGATCATGAAAAGGTGGGACGGAAGGCTATGAATACAGTCTGAATAAAGAGGATAAACTTAAGGAGAAAGTCAGAAGATGATTACCTCAAGTAATTACTACAAAGAGCCACAAGTAGCTCAGAAAAGGCAACTGTGAATGAATACATTGATCACAGGCTGATCTTTATAGAAAATCAAATAACAGATAAGAAGATTATTGTGATCTACTCTTTCATTCATCTGAATAAATGAATGTCCAAAATTTTGGACTATTTTGTATTACAATATTTGCCCACACAGAAATAAATGCCAGGCAACGGATATAATGTACATATAAAATACCTAGTAGAAAGGTCCTGCTTTGTTGAAAAATGTCTCATGTAACTTATTTTGAATCATTTATAGTACCATTTCTTCAACCTAAAATATTGCCTTTTCTTTTTCTGGTATGTAAAATACATAGACCTTCCATAATCCTATTCAAGTATCAGTGCTTCCTTTCTGGAACCCGCCCTCCACTCCAGGAAGCTGAACTGATGACGCCCCTGTGAGGATTCCTTTCTACACAGCAAACGTAACACATCATTATGACCTGTTTAAGTTTGTCTTTGCCATTGTGAGTTCCCTGGAGAGAAGGCCAAAATCTTAATATGTGTGTTTATCATGGGAACCTAACAGTGTCTGACGCCCTGCAGGCATGACTTATTTGGTAAATGAATAAACAAATGATACTGCGCCTCAGTTTTTGCATTCTTCTGGAGCTCCTTAAACCTAAACTTTTCTTCATAGAAATATTTTCTGACTGAGTCTTGTAGGGTATTGTTGGACCTTCAGTGCCTTCTTTTAGAATTACCATGTTCTCTATTCATTGTTCCGAGAAACAAAGCTTAGGTAAAAATAAAGGCAATTTGAATCAGATTTTCTGAGCAGTCTTTCAGTCACAATACGACCTTGTCTAGACCTACTGACCATTCCACTGACAAGAGACAAAATAGCATATTAACCTCTTGGCCTTTGTACCGTGCAGCAAATCTGAGTCATGCTACAGAGTTTCTGTGCAGTTTCTTCCTCCAGCTGTCTCAGACTTGCAGATGCTAAGCCTGAGACAAAAGGCCTTCAAGGCTGAAGGGTCAATATAATTGAATTAAGTGTGTGTGATAGGATGATCATTGCATGCAATATTAAAAAGGCTATACCGCAGAAGTGTCTGCCTGTGGGCTTTCTTGTTTTTCTGACTGACTGGTACTTTACTTCTTAATGATTTTTACCTGCCAAAGGGCTGTTTCTATTTCCAGGTGGCTGACAAACTTTAAAAACATACTTGGCATCACAAGCAATACCAGCATATAAATTTAAAAGCAAAACCCCTGAATCCAATCAAATCTGATTCCCTCAAGGGAGCTCGGTGTGGAGCACAATGTGATTCTGCACAAGAGAGTGAATTCACCTTGTCACTTAGCTACCATTTGACAGTGTGCCTTTTGGGGGACACTGTAGGGTCTAATATTTACTGAACTCCTGTTATATGTCAGGAGGTTAATGCACCTTATCAACATAATCCTGATCTTCACAATAACCCTCATAGTAATTCTGATCTTTGCAGTAATCCTCACAAATCCTCACATGAACTATCAATTCTTTACTTGTATAGAGACTGAGAGTCATAGACGTGAAGAAATGCATGGCCAGATGCAACATAAAAAGAAATATAAGACATAATTTACACCTAATCTTTGATGTCACATCTTATGCTTTTTTACTTTGCAAACCTTAGACTAGTAGAAATAATAGTGATAAAAATAAGGCAACCTCCTCATATCTCTGAACTATCACACTTCTAGGAAAGAATTGAGGAGATCTAAGGGGTCCATTTCCTGCCTTCTGCTCTCCCCTTAATCCATTCAGTCTGACATCTGGTCTTGATATGGGTTGAACTGGATCCCTTCAAAGATACATGTTGGACTTAACCACGCGCTATGGTTTGGTGATTAGTTCTCTAGGAGGTCATGCACTGGAAGTTTGATCCTTTGGACCTAATGGGAGGTCATTGCTGGGTCCTACTGTTTTGCTTTGATTTGCTACTTGTTATTGTTTAATACACTGTGTCAACCTGAGAAGTTTAGAACCTTGGAACTTTAACGAGGTGACTCAGCAGGGAGCCAAGATCCTTACTTTGCAAATATCCTTATCCTGGGCAAGAACAGGGCGCAGAGATTTTGTGAATGCTTCATCTGCCCTGGGGGATGTGGGGTGGCCTGTATAAAATATAAGGAAGGAAAAGAGACTTGCTCTTCCCCCTTTTTACTCTTGTTGCTTTTGCTGGTTGCTGCCTTGAAGTGTTATCCGTGGGTCGTGCCACCCTGCTTGGAGCCAGCTGATTATAGACTGAAACCTCTACAAACACTGAGCTAAACAAACCTTCCTTCCTTCATTTTGGTTGTCGGGTAGTCTGTCCCGCAGTAAGAGAAAAGTAACCAAGACACTGCTCACCACCTGGTCTCCCCGTCTTCGCTGGCATGACAGAGTACAGCCAAGGAGACCCTCACCAGAGCTAGAGCCCTGCTGTTGGCCTTTCAGACTCCCAAGATGAAAGCTACATTTATTTTTATTATAAAGTATCAGGCACCTCATTATAGTAATGAAAATGGAGAAATATACACATAATGTGACTGCATTTTTAGGTAGGTCTTTTAGAGAATTAAGATTAAATGAAATCAAAGGTTAGGCCATTATTCCAAAAGGCCTGGTGTCCTCAGAAAATGAAGAAGAGAGCCCATTTAACCCACTGAATGTCGTATTTGTTATGTCCATATAGCAAATTAATTCATTCACCAACATTTGAATGACACAGAAAACTAATAAAAACACATGTTATTATGGACAGTTTGCCTGGTATGCGTGGGATAATTTTCCTCACTCTTGTCAAGAGGGATTATCATCCTTACTTTTTAGATGAAATAAATTGGTTTTAAGTCTAAATTAGTTGGTATAAACCAAGCAGCCCAAAGTCTTGTTAGAAATGAAACTAACAGGTGTCCCCAGCATATTACCATCCAGATTTTTTAAGCACTATGAGGAGACTGTTAACAAAATCCACCACCCTTTAGAGAAACTGCTCTAATTCTGGCAGAATATTATTTCATATTAATTCTGACAAAAATTCTGTGCAATATCTATTGTTGCTCACTTATTTACTTACTTATTTGCTTATTTTCATAAGAAGTAACGTGGGCCTAAACAATGTAATAAGGTCACATGATCTGGAGTTTGATCATTGGCTTTTGGACATGATCCTGAGATTAGTCAATACGTTATTTTAGGAGATGACAATAGATCTCATTTTGTTGGTTCCAAATCCTAGAGGATAAAAAGTTGGAACGATAAATGAGTTGGATGGATGCTAAACACCCCATTCCTCAATTCATCTCCAAGGATAGCCAGCAGAGGTCGCTAGGCTATCAGAGGATGCTG